CTGCTTTGCGTAACCAAAAACGGTGTTGGCATCGAGCACGCTCTGTTGTGCCAACTCCTCGAGTGTGCACCCAAGGCGGCTGAGCACCAAGACGTTATATCGCCCTTCCATGCCGTACCAAAGCATCTTGGGAATGCCAGGCATTCCCGACATCTCCCGATACACCTCGTTTCACAGTCCAGTTCTGAGACCCATTCCTGGGTAACCTCAAGCTTGACAGCAACTTCTCTCCCTTTCTTAAGATCTCTTGCGAGATAAACCGTTCCTAAACAGAGTAGAGGTAGGTGTCATGGCCCAGATGGCCTTCAGATTGACGTACCGAAAGACCCAGCACCAAGCAGTTCTCCTAACTGGTATCTACCACCTACTCGTACCACATCTTTCCCAACAATATCAGGCATTAGGCCAAAGGGTGAAAATTGTGGTGGGGTATCCTGGGTTGGATAGGTTGATATGAGGGGAGCGTGAGGGTTGGGACTCAAAAGTCTTTACGTTTTTTGCCGTCAGGGCGCTCCCTCATAGCTCGTGGGCCTCTCAACTCACTCACCCAAGTCTGCCCGTGACATTCCAGCGTTCATCGAGTTCCATAATGTAAGGTGGCCAAATGCAGACACCTTACTGTAATAAATAATTGTTGATTCACACCTGAAATATTGTAATTGTGTGAATTAATGAGTAGTTACTGCTTTTTTTTTAAAAAAAAACTGCATTTGTATACCGCAACATGTGACTATGACAAAGACGCGGACCCCGAACTACGGGATTGGTATAGGCGATGGTATGGAAGGCAGGAGAGTAGCAGTAAGACTAGACGGAAGCGTGGCATTGGGAGGCGGGAAGGGGTAAAGTAGTTACTGCTTAGGATCGAAGATCCTAAGCTATCATAATTATCCGGGCCGGCTTGAGGCTGCCCCTGGCGTCTCGCGTCAAATGACACAGCCGGCCCGGCCCGCCTAGATAACAGGCAATTAAGCAACGCTGCGACATTCTGCGAGTGTTGCACATTGATCCCAGCAGTGCACCCCGATGGAGTGCCCTAGATTTCTGAGATGCGTGAAAACAACGCGATCAAGGGAAAAATCAAAAGTAAATGCAATATGAAACAATCAGGAAGATTGCAACAGATCGGACAGATCTTAGTTGGAATGGAGTGCCGATTATCAGGTACCGTACACCATAATTGATAAAATCGTGTATTACTGATTGGCCTGATTTGCCCCGTACGGTAGTAATTGTAGAATGAGATACGAATGTTTGTTTTTCGATATGTAAAGCTTAGTTTCCTCATTGACTTCGTAGCCGCCCCTGAAGCCACATCAATAACCCTTTTGTCCCTTCACGTTCCCACACACGGCGCGGGGGGACACGGAATCTAGGCAGTGTTAGAGAAGAAGTACCATATACAAAGTCCGAAGAAACCAAGTACTCACAGATTGGCATCCACAAGGAACAGGTCAAGTGGGAGCAGACCCAACTCACCGGGGAGCACCGCGATCGAGTTTTCACGTACATCTAACTCCTCTAGCGTCCACCCGCTACGCATTGATGCAACGCTATCTCCCCCCTCTTCATTAAATACCACCTGCGCGAGTTCACGTAGTCCATTGAGTTCTTCTATTTTGTTCCCGCAAAGACCCAGTCGTCGTAGCCCAGCACGGGCACCGTTCCTCATGAACGACAATTGCTCGAGTACTTCACGTGTCAGTGCAGCCCCCGTCAAGTTGTTATATGCGAGCTCAAGATTTCGCAAGCTAGGGAATAGCTGCGTAAGCACATATACAGTGCCGCCGTCAGCAGACCCGGCGCCGGGCACGGCGTCGCTTAGCGAACACCCTTCAAGGTTAAGCGTCTCTAACCGCGGTAAGAAAGACCCACCGCTGCATGAGGGTAAGAAAAACGCAGGCTCGGCACGTCGCCCGCGCAGATCGAGTGCACGCAACGTATCCGCGAACGGTTGAGTCGTGATCAGTGCAAGGGGAAGAGTCGCGCGCGGAAGCATATCCTCTGTTGCAGTGCCACCTGCACCGCGGCGTAAGGATCGCCCAGTGGAAGGGGGAAGTGTGAGCGTGAGGGTGTGTATATCCCAGTAACGCTCCAATGCAGGATGGGAAGCCGTAGGGAGCACGTTGAGCCCAGCTTCCTCATCCGCGCGCTCTGCGGCCTTCGCTCCTGCTATGCATATCGTGCCCTCGGACAAAGAACCACGTTCCACGTTAATGTCACATCGTTCCCCGGCAATAGGAAGCGGATCATGAGGCTGTGCCGGAGCAGGACTTCCGCCAAGATTTGCGGCGCTTCGCCTCTCACGGAGGCGCTGGACATGGCGGTCCGCCTCGATCTCCCAAGACTCACGCACGATGCGCTTGCCTACGGCTATTGCAAGGGTACCCGTGACCACTGCACGCGTGTCGCCTATAGGCGCCTCGAAATCGAGAGTTTGGGTGAGCGTAGAAAAGGCACTAGAAATAACTGCTTGCGTAACGGGCGTTTCTCCTAGATCGAGGACAACTAGTTTGGGGAAGGCCGGTGCATCGGCCAAGGAAAAGAGAGTGGCCGGGAAGGACGTGTCATAAATGTTACAATTTGACATGCGGAGTTCAACGAGCTGAGAGAGGGTGCTGAGCGAAATCAGGAGTTCCGCAATGTCATCGAGAGGGTTATGTGCGAGGTTGAATGTCTTGAGCTCTGCTGGCAACGCATCATGGTGAATGGCCGAGGCAACAATCTTATTGTGTGAGGCGTCCAACGAGGCAAGGAGAGGTAGGGGACGCGTTGCTCTCACGATTGCTGGAGCCAAGAAGAAATCACTCGACTGTCGCCTTGATGCCGGTACCTTCGTTGCAGGGTCAAACGGCATTCTAAAAGGAAGGGTAACGAGGGAGTTGTGTGAGATGTCGAGATTGGAAAGGGAAGGTAGGGAAAAGAAATGGGGTGGAAGGGAGGTGAGAGCATTATGGGAAAGATCAAGATTGACTAGAGAAGTAAGATCAGCGAAGCTGTCAGGAAGTGATGTAAGACGGTTGTTTTGAAGCTGCATATTTATCCTATAGTAAGCTGCTGTGAGCCAGTTTAAATGCACGTACGTCGATGGTCTTGAGGGAACCAAACAGAGAAATCTCAGTCTGAATTTCCACGATCTGATTATTCCGCGCCCGGAGGAATGTCAAATCTCGCTGTTCATACCACGTAGTTGGATCAGAACTTTTGTCAGGTATCACTGGTAAGGGGGGTTCATCTGGCACGCTAGCAAGTTTCCCGGGCGTCACTGAGAGATGAATCTCGAATAAGGCAGAAGGGAGACACGGAAGGTCCCGTGATGCGATATTGAGCGAACCTTGCAAATAGGCAATGAAGGGGTAGCAGAATGATATGTGGGCAGAGAAGCATATTGATACACACCTGAGCTGCGCGCTCGTTCAATTGTCTGACGTATAGAAGGCCGACCAAGATCGTCTCCCTCGGCTGTGAAGGTCTCCGAAATGGTCTGCGACGTATTCTCAATCCCGCCCGACGCGCTGGAATCGCCACGTGTTGCAAAATTCTTCTGCACGGCTATTGCTTTCTTTGCCTCTGCACGCTTGAGTGCAATAGCTTCCTTCATGTTCATCGCAGGCGACTTGGAAGGAGTCGCTCGTTCTGGCTCATTTGCGCGGAACCGTGCAGGTGACTTAGAGGAGGATTTCGTTTGTGGTCGCTCAGAAGAAGGTGCCCGCGCGGAGGAGAGCGATGACGGTTTTGCAGGAGTGGATATCGTGCGAGGACGAGCTACGGAAGTTTTTCTTAACCGAGGAGTGGAAGGAGACGGGGCGAGTCGTGGAGAAGGATCAATGAGTGGGGGAATCGGGTGAGGGTTTGCAAGACGAACACCGGTGCCTGCGCCAGCGCTTTGAGTCAAAACAGGTAGACGAGACTTTGAGAGCTTTGGCAAGTTTGAGCTCCGGTTATTAGGAGAGGGAAGAGGTCGATTCATCGAGTAACGAAGAGAGTCTCTAACCGAAGCCTATTTTGGTAAATGGTCTCAAACTCCGCTCCGCAAGAGTAACTGGCTGATCCATCCATCCATCAACCATCGTCAAACATTTCAGGGACTCGAGTACCTCTACATTATGTGAGTACCATTTCATCGTTCAGCATTTCCGTATCGATAGTTCTTTCAACTTGTCTTGGTGGATGTGTCCCATAGTGAGGGGCTGGATGTACGGATCATTAAACAGATGGCGTTCATGAATACTCATCATCCATTATAGTCGTCAGTGCTGCAGTAACTAGACACCTCACTTGCTCAGCATGATCATTTCAAAAGAGAACAGGCGTACTATCTACCAAAACCTTTTCAAGGGTGTGTCATACTGTATCTCCCTTTGACGCACCCCCGCAACTCATACTCATTCACATATTCAGAGGGTGTTCTTGTGGCGAAGAAGGACTTTAATGCTTCAAAGCACGAAGAACTTGAAGTTCCTAACCTCGAGGTGATCAAGGCGCTCCAATCGCTGACCTCACGGGGTTATGTCAAGACTCAGTTTTCGTGGCAATGGTACTACTACACCCTCACGCCTGAAGGAGTTGAGTATCTCCGTGAATGGCTCCACCTTCCCGCAGAGGTCGTCCCCGAAACTCACCGCAAGCCCGTTCGCACCCGTCCTGCACAATCACGACCAGGCGGCGGCGGCGAGGGATCATACCGTGCTCCTCGTGGTGACCGCGAGGACTACCGCCGGCGAGACGATGCTGGAAAGAAGGAAGGCACACCAGGCGAATTCCGTCCGCAGTTTGCCGGCGTTGGTCGCGGTGGTCCTAGGGAATAGGCATATGATCACACGGGGGAGAGCCTACTTGTATGCTCGTAAAAAGTGTTTATTTCCTCGTTAACTTGCCACATTCCATGTTTTTTAAACGAATTCTAAATGACATCCTTGTCGGTGGATGCCCATTCAGTTTTCTTCAGCTTATTGACAAGCGGATAACTTGGAATAACCTCGGAACCGTAACAAAAAGGATGCCAGGACCGTGGATTGAACACGGGACCTCCAGAAAACCCCAACGGCTTCAGTCTGTTGCTCTCCCAGCTGAGCTATCCCGGCAATAATATTTTTCACAGCACCTCCAACTAGAATAATACAGCTTCCAACTCAGAACTTGAATAGTTAAAGCCTTTCTGCAATCAATCCACATGCTCGAGACTGTTTCACTTCGTTTCCAGGACCCGGTTCAAGTTGTTGTTTGTGATGAGGTAACAAATTCCGAACCACTACTCGAGGAAGCCGGGCACCGTGACGCTCCGGTGCCAGGTACTCAGTAAGCCATGAAGAAAGAATGCCAACTCATGAAGCACAACTTAGTATCGTAGGGTGGCCGTGGCTGGCCACGCCAATTTGATCAATGCAGTTAGCAGTACCTAGTGTTATTTTGATATGATAATCCCGCTTGGGGTCAAGCATACCGTATACAGTACAGTAACTTACAACCCGCCTTCACCGCGAGGACGCGGAACCTTCCGATATAGCCCTTTGTTTTAGAAGGACAACCCGCAACCTGTACAGTGCCTCGTTTACCTCGTCTTCCTCCAATAGACTAAACGATGCTCGCACATAGGCAGTGCGTCCACCATTTGGAAAGAACACGGCTCCTGGAAGCGCGAGGACGCCGCCTTCAAAAGCTTTAGTCTGAATTATACTCGTCGAATCGCCTTCCTCGCCCAGCAGTAGCTTGAACCTAATCACGGACATTAACCACAGCCAGTGTATAATGTGAGAGTATGGGAAACATTCCAGAAAAACATTCCAGCCTCTGGGGTGTTCCATTCTGCAATTCCGTGAAGATGCCGCCTCATGGCCGCCTCGAACACGTCGCGTTTGCTCGATAAAACTCTGCAACTCTGTGAGTGTGAACAAGAAAACCCTGGCGTCCCCATGAACGCAGCAGGGTGAAAATCACAGCCTGAGAGAAGGATGATGGCTGCAAGTTTGCCGTAGCAGTCTGCGGGCATCTCAGTGCCATTTCAGGGTTTGCAAGGAAACGGTTGGGGACGCACGTGTCTATCAATCGCGTCCAGTAAAGGGTCAGGTCCTGTCACGAAACCGATGCGAGTACCTGCGGAGAGCATTTTGCTGAAACTGTCAAAGCGCAGCACACGCCCGACACTGCGATCCCCAGTCTGTGCCTCAAGCATGAAATACGACGGGATACGCGGACCCGTGCCAAAGTACAAGAAATAATAGGGATCATCTAATATACAAGAGGTAGTTCAGAACGGACCAATAGATGTAGCACCCACCTTCGAGGATAAGGATATTATGTTCCCGCAAGAGGTCCAGTACCTCCTTGCGGCGATTGAGTGCTGTTGTTGCTCCTGTCGGATTACATCCGTACTACCCCACACGATCAGCATGAGGTGTGTTCAAAGGGGCACCGTAAACACGCACAGGAACGGTATATAATACTTTAGGTTTTAACTTGGATGAAGGCCAGTTATTTAGGATTTGGCGAAGAGCGTGTGAATTGATTCCGTGCCGTCGGTCTCAACCTCTATACTTCTGGCTTAGCACATATAGTATCCGAGGACACCGCCGACACTTAAACCGGGACTTACCTATCATTTCACAGCGAAGCGTCTCGAACATAGGGATCACACCGCTAGTAACTCACTTTGTTAGGACTCCTAACCAAAAACGTCGTAAATTGTCACCCACGCATACACAGGCTTTTCAACCAACACGGGATCACCCGGATTCACAAGTGCTTGGACAGCCTGCGGTTCAGTAACGATAAGCCTGAGGTAGGTTGCAATAACAGCAGGGGGCGAACCTTATAAATCCCGTCTTGCGACCCCGCAGTCACACTGACCCTCCACCCCTCCCCCCTCCTTCTACCATGTTCCTGCTCTTGAAATTCAGTCAACCATTCCACCATGGCTGAATCCCGGCAGTCGGCGCGTACTGCAAACCCATCGAGAGCAAGTCATCATCTACTGAAAATAGCGCTTCCCCAGATCCATCCGCGTGGGGGGCGGTAAACTGGACGCTAGTGAACGGGAACAGCGCGGCGTTGGGTTTCCCTGCAAGGAGAGATATCACGCCGGGTGTTTTTTCGAGTGGATAGAGTCCGCGGACTGCATACGTGGTGCCAGGGTCAGGGTAATTTCAGAAGTGGCAAAATGGCGGTATGCGGACTCACTTGGACTGGGTTTGCGAGCTTTGGAAATTTCAGAAAGGAACGGATAATAGAACGATGTGGGGAGAACGAGAATTTCCGCTCTCGTCTGAGAAGGTACAGTAGTAGTCTCTGAGTGGTGGTGCACTGGCTCAAGGCCAAGACGGCAAGACGGTAGGACATACCTCGCTGATCACACCCGAACCGTCAGCACTGCTCGAGGACTCGATGCTTCCGCTGGAAATAAGAGATGAAGTTGCCATAAATCGAGTCCAACGTGTACAGTCACTAGTAAGTTAGCACTTCAAGTTGATCACATGATCACAGCAACTACTGGGTTCGGAGGAAGGTTCGCCGAATTGCCGCTTAGCGCCCAACTTCATGGCGATGGCGACGTGTTGATGTCTCGTCGAAGTTTACTGCAGTGTGTGATGAACAAGGGTAGAACGACCAGCCGACTGTTCTGCACTTCCCAATGTAGTATACGCATACTTGTTAATAGGCACATGATACCATAAATAAGTATGTCTAGTCCCAAACCATGGCTAGGATCAAGAGAGACAAAAAAGGTATTAGTTCACGCTGAGGTATGAGTGAGGGAAATCACGGGATGGGTGTTAGTGGGGAGAGGGGTGAGAACGAATCACATATAGATACAGCAGCAAGAAATGGAGTGGGGATGTCTGAGAACAGCATAGGTATCAGCTCAACGAAATGATGAAGTAAGAATGACAGACATGAGATGTGCGAGAATAGTGGCACACAGAGACCCAGTACACGCGCGCAAATCTGCGGCGGGAAAAGGGACGCAGGATCCACGTTTATGTTGGCCATCCACGCGCAATGCGAGCTGCACCTCCTCCAAGCCGACCCAGAACATTCCAAACGGCCGCAGTCCCTTCACTCGAAAAGCCCTCACCGCTCGCATGCATCGTGTTGAAGCTTGACCAGGCCGAACGGTCGTAGTACGTGGGACCACCAGGTACGACATATTGGTGCGCTAGGAACGGACTCATCGCAAAGAATACAACTGCACTTGCGCCGACACATAACAGCGCGTGTGATGCAAGGCCACCCCAGGGCAGTTTGCTTCCCATCCGATCGCCACCATATACGTACGTATTATAAATGTTGTAAAACCGGCTGCCTTTCCGCCGCCCGGAGGACGCGCTGGCCGTGGCGTCTTCGAGCGCACGATCGAGCACTTTACATCCGATTCCAACTTCTGCTTTGAGGGCGCGCCAGTCCTCAAGCAACTCTGTAGACACATCTATGGGCGCGCGGAGAGGCATTTTGAGGCCATCGTGCCAGCTACGCAGTGTCTCAGCTGCAACACGAAGGTCGCGCCGCTTTTGCAGATCGGGGATATGCGAAAAGGACAGGTCTTCGGTATCCAGGAGATGTAGGAGATCATGGAACGGTGATTCTAATGTTACCTGGTTGTAAGAGGGAGGGAGGTCTGTTGGAGGGTTGGGCATGAGAAGATCAAGTGAGGAGGACTTGGCCTTCGGGGTAGGAGGGAGGACGGTGGAGGAGGATGAGGCGAGGGCTTCGTCATCCTCTTGCGGTGAAGGGGATCGTGAAACGTCAGGCTCCTCTGTCTGGACTCCCACCCCCATCGTAGCATGCAGTGTTGGAGCATCAGTTTGCGTAGACATGGACGTAGAGGCTAGTAATATGTCGGTCTGAGTGCTTGTCGAGGCAACCAACGTTTTAGGAGCAGGTTCGGTTTGTATGCCTGATGTCTTGATAAAAGGCGCAGGGTCGTATTGTGTGTAGGCATCAGCGTACTCCCGGCTTTCCGAAAGGGCAAATGACCCGGTCGCATTGGCTTTACGTAAGCCGCGCTACATGTTGGTTGGTAAGTTAAAACATCAGAATAATGCAACAGAACAATGGTGACTTGCCTTCTTCGTTCGAGTAATGATTGTTTGTACGATGTCTTCGTCTTCTGTGCCCTCGCCTTGGTCCTCGATGCCAAGCTCCTTTAGCGTTGCCACGGCATCCCGCTCATCCTCGTCGTCAATCCATCCACTTCCACTCTTCAACTTACTAAGTAGCTCCGCACCCAAGCTCCTACTGACACTAGTGGGCGCACTAGCTATCCCGTTTCCGGCACCCGGAGCATTGTTCACGAGCCCAGCCCGGAGTTCATCCATGTCGAATCGCATACGGTCGATGGTCTCCTTGAGCATGAGATTCTCACGTTTCTGCTCGTCTAGGCTTGCCTGCGCCTGCTGCGCAAATGCAAGATCTTGTTCGAGCAAAACAATGCGTTCTTCAAATGTCTCGTTTTCTTTGAGGTACTTGTTTGTCTCCATCTGCTGAAGCGAGAGACCATCTCGGAAACTCCTGATCTCCTCATCCTTTCGGCGAATCGTGTTGCGCAAGTCCTCAGACTCGTCTACGATTGCTTTCAGTGCGTCAAATGCAATCAGTCAAGGTGATGCTTACTCAGCTGTTCTTGGTACTGTTTTTGTAACGAATTGTACATCGTGCGGGAGCTGTCGAGAGTCTTTTGCACCTTGGTTATCTCACTCTCGAGAGCGGCGATTTGAGTCTGGCTTGATCGCTCTTTGTTCCTCAGCTCTTTCTCCTCACGCTTTGCTGCGCTGAGCTCGCTTTTTGCCTCTTCAAGACGCGCCTCCATCTCCTCCAGTTCAACTTCATGATCTGCTAGCTTCCGCTGCAACGTGCGCTCCGCTTCCACGAGTTTCTTGGCGAGGTCAGCATTCACTCGCTGCAGCGCCTCAGCCCGCTCCAATGGTTCCAAGGAGGCTGTCGAGGACGTAGTGGAGCGATCAAGGATGAGCCCGAGCACTGAGTCTTCCTCATCATCATCCGAGTCCGACTCAGCAGACAAGCGTGGCATAGGAAGTTTGGCAATGGATTCCTCGAAGGCACTATACATTGCGCCAGCGAGATCGAGCTG